GAGCAAAGGGGCACTGGGGGACTGACAGGTCCTTGTCACCCTCCGTGGCTCCCAAACCCACTCACAATGGGTCCTGTTGTGTTGCCATGGGGTGGAGGTGATGGGGACCAAGGGTGATGGGGACCAAGGGTGATGGGGATCTCACCTTCTGGGGTGCAAGGGATGCCGGAGGGCTGCAGGGAGTGGGTCCCAAAGGGCAGGAGGGTCACAGCCCCATCGTGATGCTCTCCCTGGGCATTGGCATCCAGAGAATTTTGGGCTGATGACAAATTTTTATTTTTTTTTTTAAACCTGAGTAATTTGTCATCTTGCTGTGTTGAAAGTGCAACACAGGTGGAGGGCTGGTTTTTCATGAGGCTCTTGGAACTGTGGTGATAAAAATAATTTTGCTTTAATTTATAGATATTGTTAAAATTAAACACCTCCCCCCTGCTCTCGATTTCTAATATAATAAGATTTATTTTTAATGTGACCGGCGTGCCTTCCTCGGCACAGGAGACACCCCTGAGTTTTATCGCCCCAGTGCTGCTGCTTTACGATGAAGGGCTGTTTATGGCTTCGAGCTGATTTTAATGATAGTTTTTTCAAACATTTGGCAGGTTGCTGGAATTTGTGGCACATGAGCTGAGGCCAGGCCCCTCTTTAGTGTCCGAGAAAATGGTGGGGCTCAATGAAAGGCTCCCAGCTCTGTCCCAGCGAGGCATGGCACAAATTGGAGATGTTTGATGGGGACACCAAAAGAGCTGCTTGCTCCTGCCCTACGCTGCTGTCTCCTTGCTAGAGCAGCAATTTAGGGAGTGAACTGGAGGGAGAGAGGGTTAGAATAACCCACGTGGGTTGTTTTACACGGTCTTAGGTCACCCCATTGGGTTCCCCAGGCAAACCTGTCGCTGGGAACATGCCAACCCCCCCAGGACCTGAGTAGGCACCATCCATCCATCCACCCATCATCACCCCAGGACCCCTCTCAGAACCCCCAGAATGGCTCTGCCTGTCCCCCATGGCACACACCAACCCCACCAAAGGTCCTGCCACCTCTTGTTGCCCCAGGGAAGGACTCTGAAGAAGGGTCCCACCACCAGGCAGGGACAACCGAGTGTCAGGTCAAAGCCTGCCACCGCCAGCACATCTCGTCATCCCCTCCCGTTCCTAAGAAAATGCCCCAATTAGGTCAACAACACGGTGGGGTGACCCCCCCTCTCCTCTCGCACCCCCCAGATAACTATTCTCGCTGACAAATGAGCTGCCCTAAAGCCCAGGATTTCACTCCCTGCCCGCAGATGGGTTTCGGAGCTGTAAGCGGAGACGCGTGGGGATTGAGGTGGCATTTGCCGAGCGAGGCCGCCCTGTCCCACGGGAGCAGCCGGCTCGGAGCTGGGCTTGGAGGGGAGAGGATGAGGGGAGAAACCCAATACCCCTCTTGGCTCAGTGGTGGCTTAATTTAGAGCACGGGGGCTCTGCTAGAGTGCTTTTCCATTTAAAGCCGAACCTCATTCCTTTTGTCATGCACGGGGCGAGGGCTCTGCAGCTTGCAGGGCAGTAGCAGCTGCTGGCTGTGCCTGCTGGAGAGGTTGGCAAAGCAATTTCCAACTTCATTCCCCTTTGCAACCAGCTTCTTCCCAATTTCACCCATGTGAAGGGCTGAAATCTGTCTCCTCCTCACACTCTGCCCAGCTTTGGACCCTCAGGGAGGGCACGAGCCACCCCCAGCCCCAATTTACGGCTCTAAATCGGAGCTTAGAGTGGGATGGGGTTGACCTGCTGGCTGATCCCCTGCCCTGGGCTGAGCAGAGCCCTGTGTCGATAGCGTCTATATTTAACTGCGTTAATGCAACTTAATTCACGTTACGGCCAGTCTGGAACGCCGCGCTGCTGCGATGCCTGCTCTTCCCAGGTAGATGCCTTCCCAAGGGGCTGAAAGGAAAACGATGACAATTCATTAAAGGTCATTTATTCCCAGCGG